TGTGTGTGTGTGTGTGTGTGTGTGTGTGTGTGTGTGTGTGTGTGTGTTCAGATCCCCAGAGGGCAAGAATCATCACCAGCATGAAACTGATCAGTGTGAGGATTTGGAATACAAATTTAGGCATTATGCAGAGGCATTGTCCCCAGCTGAGGCTAAAGAGCTTATGCTGTTTTAGCATTTGAGGGAAAATTCAGGTAAATGTTTTATCTGAATGGCACAGTTCAGAGCTCTAACTAGTCTTTCTATAGGAGAAGAGATCACTCATAGAGATACAGTTAGATTCAGAGCCTCACTAGGTTAATGAAAACTTTTGTGATTGCTTCCTTGATCATATAAAATCTTTATGAAAGTGACCTAACAAGGTTTTTCTTGAAAAGCAAATTAGCAAGCACTGTTGACAGTTTTCTGCAGAAGACTACATCTTCATAGTTATATAACTCAGTGAGAAGTATAAGGAATGTGACAGTTTATCCCATTGTATCAGTTTTATACAAAATAGTATTTGATTTAGCAGAGTCAAATAAAGGGGAAAGGGGGAAGGTAAGAAGCTTTTAATAAGTGCAAGTACCTTACAAATATCTCATTTGATTCTCACAATAACCCTGAGAAATAGGTACTCCAGCTGTTCAATTTCTTCTGAGCCATCCCAGAATGCTCCCAAACTTGGGCACTCATAGAAGCCCTTGTATGTAAGCCAGTGGTAGAGAGAAAGGGAATGAATGACAGACATAACTCAGTTCCAGGGTAAGGAGACAGAACTGAAGTAACGAGATGCCGAGGAGGCCACAGTGCCTGCATACTTCACCATATTATCCACCTCTATCACCTTTTCAAGAGGGAAGTCTGCCAATACATTCCCTGGCATTTTACTACAAAGGTGCAGCTTCACCTAATTATGCCCTTAAATCAGGTTCCAGTCTGTTGGCCGGGTTAAAAAAATGGAACTGATTTTTCTGAATCTTTTACGTCCTGAAAATCTAGTTGCAATGGAGAACGAAGTCTGGCTTTATTTCAGCAAAAATCTGGGCATACACTGAGTGCCTGACTTAGAGGAATTCTTGAATCCCCGGGAAATGCACCAATCTTTAGGAGTTTCAGATGGAAGTATATATGGATTGAACAGATTACTTCCCATTAGAAATAAATGGGCCTTGAAGTTGGCACAGTTCTATACAGATTTACTCACAAATGTCTGAAAAGCCTGGGGCAGCCAATTTAAATTATACTTCATTTTAAACCCTAAGAAGAGAAAAAAGATGAAGTTCCATCCAGTGTTTTTGCATTTGGCCCTTCAAGTGACTTGTCAGCCTCCCACACACAGAGACAATTGCCTCTTCCTTTGATGCTGCTTTCATTTTGTAGAAGAGCTGCTAACTCAACAATACAACTTTGAGAGACAAATGTTGAAATTAAAATAAAAACAAATGTCTTTGTTTTCTATCCACAGCACATTAGGTCCCTATCTCTAGCCTTACTGTCAAAACAATTTCTTTATCTTTTTTTTTTATAAAGGGAAAATCTACATTCATTTTCTCTTCAGTGCAATTGGCTTAGAAATGTCCTTAATATGAATCGAATACATTGCTTCATCCTCTAAGTTATTCAGTTTTCAATAAATGTTTACTAAATACATACTATGTGCTATGCAATTGGTCCATGGAAATCTATTTTTAAATTGAAAAAGGTGACTAAGCCTCATCTGTGGCTACACCTGATGCAATGGTGGAAAGACTAGCAGGCACTGTGATTTTCTTTTTTTTTTCTTGTTCCTTTTTTTTTAATTTTTTTTAGGCAATTGGGATTAAGCGACTTGCCCAGGGTCACACAGCTAGTAAGTGTCAAGTGTTTGGTCTGAGGCGGGATTTGAACTCAGGTCCTCCTGACTTTAGGGCCAATGCTCTATCCACTGCGCCATCTAGCTGCCCTGAGGCATTGTGATTTTCAAATCCATCTTTTTTTTTTTTTTTTTTTTTTGGTGCACAATTGAGAGAATACACTGGTTTGGTTCATAGTGATTATACACACACATACACAAACATATATGTATGTATGTATATATGTGTGCATATATACATATACATACATACATACTATATATATATATATGATAGGGATGTGTCTTTCTCAAAAGCTAAGGAATATTTTGTACAATTAAAATTATTCCCTCATGAAAATTTGCTGCATGATTTTGATTTTTAATAAAACTTTAGATTCACCTGATGAAGTGATGGGACTTGGACCCCTAAAAGGAAAAGACCATGTCTTTGAAAACAACCCAGTCCCTGAATTTTCCCATACATTTCAGCAGCCCAGATCACTGAAGCCTCTGCCCAAGGGAACCAGCCTAGATCACAAAATTAGCTTACTTGATGTTCCTGTGGTATACAGACCACTCATTAATCCCATCCAGATACTTCCTTTGCATTTTTAAGCATCACCCCCATTAGGTTGCAGATTCCCTAAGAACCCTGACCTGCTTCTATTGACTTTGCAATAAACTTTGTCTTTTGGCTGGAAGAAGGTTTGAGTGTGTGAATTCATTGCAGGTGGATGTCGCATCGTACCCTGACATTTTGGGGTTCCCAGCAACCCCAAACTGCATCAGTAATGATTTATATGCCCAAGCTTCTGTCACATTTAACTGCATTACAAACTTTTACAGTTCTAAGGCAATACAAAATATACAACTCAAAACTGATTTCCTACTTCTGTTTTATATACACACACATACACACATATACATATGTGTGTATATGTAAAATCTCATAATTCTTATGATAGTAGGTGATGACAATTAATCATGTAAAGTTACACAGTCACTCAAATGTTTATATTATACTATCCAGGGGCTCCCTGGATCCCTATAATAATGCATTTATGGGTTATCTCACCAAACATCAGGAAGCTTTTCCTATAGCCCCTAACATTGCCTGTGTTCCATTACAAGGTTGAGAAATAAAAGTAAGAGCTCTAAATAATGAAACAGATACTTACCCCTATAAAGTATCAGATAATCAAGCAACTACTAATGAAATAACATAAGATTTGGTGAGTCCTTTGGTTTTTTCCCAATCTTTTTTCTAGACAAATATATAAATGTCAACTTCCATGAGCAACTGCGTGATTTAAAGCAAACCCAAACACGCCCCAGTCAGATATCCCATTCTAAGCATAATGGACCCAAAACTGAAGTGCCTATGTTCTAAGAGGAAATACATTCCTCTTAGTAAATACACTATGTTTTCCTCATCCTATACAAACATTAGATTTTACAGCATCTAAGAGCTCCAGGCCAATTTGGCTAAAAGACTACATTTGATATATATCCAAAGTCAATAATTTTAGATGACATTTGATAAAGTTGTCTATATATTCTCCCAATTTCAAAAAAATTTCATTTTTAAAAATCAGGAAAGGTGAAAGGAAATACATAAAGGAAGAATACCATTTCTTCATTTTCAAACTGCATGTTGTACTGGGCTGCATCTTCTGGCATTGGCTTCTGTACAATATTTCTGCAAACGAGCCATGTGGTCAAACTAGCAATGAACATTCCGATATCTGGTACAAATACTCTGATCCCATTGCCAGCATCTGCTCCCTTCAAGCTACAGAAAAAGGAAAAAAAAAGTAAGGAGAGGGAAATTAGTTGTATTAATGTTTCTTTGGTAGAACATCTTAAAATGTGAAAAAAAATGTGCTTATCATGAAGTCCAGTAATTATAAACCTGAAAGTAAAACAATTGCCCAACATTGGGCATCTGGATGGTGTGGTGTATATATAGATCACTGTTCTTGAAGCCAGTATGACCTGAATTCAAATCCAGTTTAGACACTTACTAGTTGTGTGAACATTGGAAAGTTACTTAAGCACTGTCTGCCTCAGTTTCCTTAGCTGTAAAATGACAATAATAGCACCTATGTCACAGGATTGTTGTGAGGATCAAATGAGATATTTATAAAGTACTTAGCACAGTTCTTGGTTTATAGTAGGTACTTAATAAATGCTTATTCCCTTTCCTTTTTCTAACACATAGGTTGGCGCAGTCATTTGATGTTTTACTCAAATGAATAAAGCTTGATGTTTCAAGCTTTGTGACATCAGTAAATTTGGCAAGAAAGTCAACTAAGCCATCATCTAAGTCATCAAGACAATCTTTGGGGCACTCTACTAGAAATCTGCTTCCAAAATTATATTACCCCATTAATGATTCCTCTATATGTCCATCTGTTCCATCCGTTCCAAATCCACCTAACAATGCAGCTATATAGTCCATTTTTTCTCCATTTTGTCCACAAAGATAAAATGAGAGACTATGTCAAATATCTCACTGGAAAATTTAATCTTCAATTGCTAATTTGAATAAAATAATATCTTTATTAAAAAACATCTCCAAATTAATAAAGATTAGAACTTGAGATTAATGGCTCTTGCTTCTATCCCCAGAAAATGAATTGTAGATGAAAGAAACAAAAGCAGGGAAAAGTTCAGGTACAAAAATATCTGTTATTATAAGTCACCAGAAAAAAATCCATTATTAAAATGTTATCATTACTCCTATGTTATACCCTTCAGAAGCATTCTTTCCCTGAAATGTTAAAACATGGTTTACAGAACAATTTAATAACAGCACTTTCTGGATCTGTGAGTGCAAAGTAATATACAGAATGAAAAAAAGAGAAAGGGATGGTAAAATAAAAATTAATCAAAGGTTGAGAAATATTTTAAACACATATTTCAAATGAACTGGTTAACAGAGTGATCAGGAAAGAAACAGTTAAAACTAGTAGAAAGTTAGGAAACAAAAGGAAGTGAAAAAGGAGAAAGAGGTACATAAAGGAGCCTAAAGATCACCTCAGTGTTGAATATGAAAACATTCCCACTGGGCAAATGGAATAAGAAAGTATACCAAATTAAGGCACATTCTGCTCAATTTCATAGCTTCAGCCTACCTTTTCGGGTTCATTACACAATACTCTTCATGAACTCTACATTCCAGATAAATAACCCCATTTGCTGTTTCCCATGCAGGCTATTCATCCCTCTAGGTTCTTCTGCACAGATCATCCCTCATGCCTAGAATGTTCTCTCTCTTCGTCTCCACTTCATATATTGCTTAGCTTCCTTTAAGGTTCAGTTCAAGTGCACCTTTTATAAGAACCAAATCTCACACATGGATAGTTGTCTCCCATTGAAAATTACTACACATTTATACCATGTGTGCATACACACATGCAGCAATCTACACAGACATACATATATATACATGTTATATTACACATTGTTTCCTCCCAATAGAATATAAGGGAAGGGAGGACAGTTTCATTGTCTGTCTTTGAATCACAAACATCTTGCACAGTCCGTGACACATAATAGGCACTTAATAAATGCTTTTTGACTAATAGAGATAGCTCCAAAGGAGTAAATAAATTTCACAAGTAAAAAAAAATAACACCTAGGGAAAAACAACCCAGAATATACTTATATGGTAATAGCTTCTAAATTATCATGTCAGACTTAGGAAATGAATCAAGGAATAACTATTTCCTAAAGGCAAAGATCTAATAAACTCCTGTGGCCATAACTGCATCCTCCAAATTCATCAGGAATGATGATTAAAATGATTAAAAACAAAAGAAAACTATCACCACACCTTCATATACCAGCAATGCTGCATACTTGCAATGCCATTTGTAACTTTTATTGTTGCACCCTAAGAAACATAGTGATCTGTGAAACAGGCTCTGTTGTGGGGGAGAGAGGGGGGAGTCGGGAGGGGGGATACAAATACAAAGAATGAAACAATCCCTACTCTCCAAGAGTAATGGAGGAAGATAACAAGTACAAAAAATACATATATACAGTGTAAAGACACAAATAGCAATAAAAATAATCAATCAATAAACATTTATTAAGCACCTACTATGTGTCAGGGACTATGCAAGGTAGTTAAATACAAGTCAGTTTGAGAGGAAAAGAGGTGGACTAAAAAGACCTTAAGATTTATCTCAGCTCTAACATTTTATCACTGAGTCATGCCAGACTCTTCATGATCCCTTTCGGGGTTTTCTTGGCAAATATACTGGAATGGTTTGCCGTTTCCTTCTCCAGCTCATTTTACAGATGAGGAAACTGAGGCAAACAGGATTAAGTGACTTGCCCAGGGCCACATAGCTAGCTAGTGTCTGAAGCCAGATTTGAATGTAGGAAGATGAGTCTTCCTGACTTTAGGCCTGACACTCTATTCACTGAGCCACCTATTTGCCCCAACTCTGACATCTAATGTATCTATTATAAATGTGTACTACTGAGTGAAAACTATTTTTAATATTCAAATCATGTTGAAACTAGTAGGTTCAGAATTAGATCATTTCTCCCAGAAGTGTGTGGTGATCTGATTTGTTTCAATACTTATTAAAGTCTTTTCTTTATTACATGAAATCCTAAGTAGCAGGACTTGATTATCATTTTTTTCAGCTTACACTCAATACATTAGTGGCTAGATTGATGAGAATTCCTTTCTTTTAAAATAAAAATCAGTGGTTGAATATTTCACATCCCTTCTTCATCTTTTCCATTTGGAACAAGCTACTCTTCCTCATCATACCCCCCAGCTGGCTTTTTACTTTTCCCATGTAAGAGCTGCAAAATAAGTCTTTTAAGCCACAATCCTTCTTTTGTTGGAATGATGTCCTTGAAGTGGGAGGGATTAATGATTTGAGATACTTCCTCCTGGGCATATTTATAGACTGTAACTCATAATAATCATAATCATACTAATAATATTAATATTGAGAGGAATTAATATTATATCATATCATTATAATAATTACTAATTATTAATTGTGATCTACCCTTTTTCCTTCTGTTTTCTTTAAAGACCCAACTTCTACTAAGGTGAGCCAGTCTTTGAAGAATATAATTGATTAATGAGATTGATGACAGCCCTCAAGGCACATGCTCCTCAATTTTGGGCAGGACTCCACCCACCTAGGAGATCTAATTTCTGCTTAAAGCATAAACAGAAGCCAGTCTGAGTGAATCCCTTTCCTGAGGGAAGGAACCTCTGTCCTTCTCTTCTCCATTAGAGTTTAGGGTGGTCCAGCTCATAAAGAAGAAAAGCAGCCAGAGAGGTCCTATGGAAATGGATTCCCCTGCCCAGGTTGCTGGAGGCTTCTGAGTATAACCACAATGATGGTTATCATTCACGCTTTGAAAACTTTATTTTGCAAACTGTGAAAGGCAAATAAAAGAAACAGGACTGATTTTCACTAGAACTAAAACAAATTCCACTATCAATCTGTGCCTGTGGATAAGTAAGTAGAGTGAACTTTTCTAAATCCTATTTCCATAGATGAATCAAGATAGAATATTGGTTCCAAAAACCAAAGATACTAGACCACAAATCCTATGAGACTCAGTTTACTTTACAACCTAGCTTTTTCATTCTTAATTTTAGAGGAAGAATTTTTTTTTTACTCATTCTCTGATGCCCAGTCAATTACAGACTGTCTCCATTCACTGTCTCCAATTCAGTCTGTGTAATATCCAAACTGTCTGCCTATGCAATATTGAAATGACAATATAATGATATCTGCCAAAGGCCTCTTTCCTCAGTGCTTTCATAAAATTGGGAAGGGAGGAAGACTAAATTATTCACACCCAAATTTGGACTGGGTTGTGAACTAAGCTAAGCAACTTGTAATGAGATGGAATAACATGAAAGCCTACTGGTGCTCCCTCCCACACAAACCTCCAACAAATATGTAAAATATATCCAAATACTTCAATACTGATGGTAGAAATATTGAAAAGCATTTGCTGTTACTGTGGTTTATGACAGACTAGTGTAGATGAAAACAATAATAGATTGGGTTTATCTTATAACAGTCAATGTCTTCAGAAAAGTATCTATCATTGTTTAGGACAGTCTTTTTAAGAGTAAAAAAATATTTTGAGGTATACAGTTATTATCATTTATGAAAAAAGATATGGATAAGAAACTGAGGAATCTTCATCCATTTTTCAGCTCTATTTCTTATTTTCTGCATTGCTTTGAGGGGGAAGAAACTTTTTTGTTTTGGTGAGGCAATTGGGGTTAAGTGACTTGCCCAGAGTCACACAGCTAGTAAGTGTTATGTGTCTGAGCCTGGATTTGAACTTAAATCATCCTGACTCCAGGGCCAGTGCTCTATCCACTGCGACACCTAACTGCCCCTACTTTTCCCATTCTTGATCAACTTTTCTTCCTGCAAATTAGAATACATTCATTTTCCTATAAGTCTAGTAGGCTAAATAGTAACCATACCAGACTCGAGAGCCTTTCTTTACTCAGTACAAATAAAGGTTAATTTGAGGAGTTCACTTCTATTTGGAAAGTTGGAGGAATGAATCTTGAAGTACAGTAAAAAAAAGATTCCCACCAGCCCCTATTCCCTTCCAAACTTTGCTATGACTGTTGAGGCCACCATCATTTTATTATTGTTACATAAATCTACCCATCCTTCAAAATTCTGCTTATGATTCATCACTTTCATAATCTGAAAGGTTGTCTAATCAAAAATAGACTAGATTTACCCTGCTTTGCCCTAGAGGGTAGAACTAGAA